CCCCAAAACCCCAAAACCCCAAAACCCCAAAACCCCAAAACCCCGCTTCTAACTAAAATAATTGAAAATGGAGTTCCAAGTCAATAGTCAACTTGAAGGAGGTATAAATAATACGCACAGTTTTATCCGATATTTAAAAGACAACGTGGGATACTTCTTTTAGAGATAATTTAGTCATTAATCTTAATAAGTTTAAAGCCTTTTATCTACTTAATCCCAAGAAGACATTTCTTGAGAAGAAGAAGCCAAACACAATTACTTTCTAACTCTGAGTTATAGACCACAGTGAAGAAATAGACATCCAAGTTAATACCTATGGTGAGGGAGAAATTGACTTGACATACGAAGGAGAAGGCGATTGTAAGATTTTGTATAATTCTTTGTCAAACTATCCACCTCTAATTTCAAAATCCAGTAGAGTATCAGATCCAAGGGCTAGAGCAAGAAGTAGAAGATCTCAGATATGAACTCAAAAGAGATGACGAAACCAAAGATCTGATCGACAAGCACAATGAACTACGAAAGATTCTTGACCAGATAAAGCCAGAGAGATATATCGACGAAGATGCTCAGATAGAAAGCTTAGAAATAAAGGACCAAATATCTATGCTTAAGGTCGAAGAGACCATGTGGGAGAATAGGATCCTCAAAATCCAGACAAATCCTTCTTTCTCATACGGTAAATATCTCTAAATAACCTTCAGACAAGGAAAAGGTGAATCCAGAGGTGATTTCCTCAGTCGGGGATACTCTTAACAGACGGTTGGCTTCCTCTACAAGTGTATTTCCCTCCATAACCCTTCTAGGCATATAAGGACCAAATAGAGGACCTTCAGAGGAAGGTGCGCACTAAAGAGACTGAAATTAATGACAAATTTATCATCTATCAAAGACTCCAAAGAGAGTTAGCCGAGCTGGAAACCCAGTATTCCGAGCAGAAGTCCCACTTAGATAATGCGCTGTTTGAGAAACAGCAAGAGATCGAGAAGCTGAAGGATAGAGGTAGGAATAAGAGTAATGTGTTTAGAGAGAGGGCTACAGGCGCAGATTCAGAAGAAGCAGGAGAATATAGCAGGTTGTAAGCTGTTTTAGAATTTTCAAAATTTTGGATGTGGTGAGGGGTTTTGGGGTTTTGGGGTTTTGGGGTTTTGGGG